ACGCTCTTCTAAGAGCCACAAAATTACGTGATGGGACTGCATTACTTCCAATACACTGTAATTAATACGGCTCCTTCTTAGACTGATTATACAGTGGTGCTGGCACAATGGGTTAGAGCAAAACCATGGTGTCTTAGGAGCACCAACTCCAACCCTGCTCTGCTCTCCGTGAACTTTGCATTACAAACACGAGCTTGAAAGCATGAGCAACTTTTGAGAGCCCCAAAATGTTGCTGTGCATGGCGTGGGATGGTGAAGGATGATGCCCACCCTTCTCGATTCCGACTCGGGGGTGTGCAGTGAGGTTCAACGGCTCTACCTGGCAATGGCAAAGCGTCGGAGCTCAGCACGTCTCGCCCCACAAACCTTGAAGTCATTGAGCAAGGACCCTTGAAACCAGATCAAAATTACATGTTTTTCTTTGTTCTCATCTTTATGACTTTGCTGTGCACACAGACGCCGTTTCAGGCTTTTTTTGCTAAAACCACAAGAGAAAGCACAGTTTGCTGGTTGTTTTTCAAGCAGATAAAAAAATACTGAGATTTTCCATCAGCCAACAAAGTGAGCTGGAGTGTTATGAAAAACACTGTACCATGAGGCGGCTGATAAAATCACCAGGGCTGGCAAGACTTGAAGCTATGGCCACTTCCACTCCATCACCTTGGGTTGAACAAGCCTTGCTGGCCCCAAGCTAATCCCTAAGCACTGAGAAAAAGGAGAAAAATTAGGAAAACTGGCTTTATTAGAGTCTGATATTCACTGGGGAAAGGCAAACGTTGGAAAAGTGGTTGACCTAATCAAAACTGCCCGTATAAAAATTGCTTGGCGTAACTAAACGTGCTCCAAAGTCACATCCCGTAGTTCAAATCACAGTTCTGATTCCCAGCCTTATCATCTCTCTTCCCCACTCTCATTTTTTCATGTTTCCTTTCCTTTACAAATAAACGCCTATTTGTTTACCAGCTCCACAACTGCTGGAAAATAGCTAATGGAAAAAAAAAAAAAAAAAAAAAAAAAAAGAGGTAATTCAAGGAATTATCATCGCTCTCAAAGTTTTGTCTTCACCCTCTTCTGTTTTCCAGTTTGTTTGCTTTGAAGACAATGTTTACAGCATCTCGATGAGCATGTGGCCCATCGGGTTTTATCTCCCATTAGCCAAAGGTTCAGCCAGGGTTTTGGAGACGTGCAACAGTTCCCCCCGCCCCCATCCCAGTTTATCTTTCTGCTGAGTTGTTTGGAAAATGTTAGTTAAGCCCAAGCCGCATGCTCTGAGATAAGTTCTCACAAACAGTTCACAGATTCTTCACCAAAAAAACCATGAGATTATTTTAAATCCAACAACAACAAGGAAAAAAAAATATCAGTTAAGGACAAACATAAACAGGCAGTAGTCCAGAAAGTCACTCCTGGGGTATTTAGCTCGTGAGCGTGGCACGAAGCAGGGCTGCAAATTAAATATCTATTCACCTCTCCTATTGTTGCTGCTCTTTAGTAAAGCACATCAGAACGGGAAAATCAAAGCAAGAAAAGTGGAGTTAGGATTGATTAGGAAGGATCTATGGTGGCCCAGTTCCAGCCCTTCCTCTGCCTTGATGACCCTGCTCTCTGCCAGGGATACGTGGTCAGGGAAAGGCTCCAACTTCACTTGGGCTTTTCTTGTCCCAGCTTCCCACCCACAGAGCTGGGACATGCTTCCCTACCTCAAAAGGTGGTTGGGAGGATGACTATGGTATTTGGCTAATGGGGAATAGTCTTATTTACCTACGATGAAACAGAGACTACATCCTACCCCCAGACTTGGGCAGGCACCCTCCATGTTCACCTCCATGTTCACCAGCTTCCTCTTGGAGCTCATCTGATGTGACTTGGCTGAACAAGGAGAACCCTAGGGCTCCATCTTGTCCATCAGGGCATCATGTGCTCCAACTTGTCCACTGAGGCACCATGTGCTCCACCTCATCCATCCAGGCACCATGTGCTCCACTGCTCCACTGAGGCACCAAGAGATACCAAGGGCCACAGTTCAACCTCTACGTGTGATATCTGGGTTGGGGAAGCCCACAACCTGCCCATCAAACCTAGGCATGGCCCTATGCATGAGCAGAGCAGGGCCCAGAAGGCTGGTGCTCCAGGAACTGGAGTCCCAAGTCCATGGCCGTAGACAGTTGTCAGCCACCTGCATCAGTGCAATGACCTGAATTCAGGAGGATCAGAAAGATGTCACTGTTTCTCTCCATGTTCCTGATCATAACTATGTTTCTAGCATGTTGGAGGGAGGCTCTGGAGCTTCCCTAGGGTGTAGGCACCAGCTATCTGCTGTTGACCCCTGTGTGCGGGGACAGGAGGAGAGCAAGAAGCCCAGTTCACTCTCCTTAGCCTGGCACAGGCACTGAACCCCTCCTGAAGGCAGACAGCAAGGGTTGCACTGCAAGGACCGGGCTGCCTGGGGTCCTGCCATCGATGTCCTCGCCCACCGATGATGTCTTTCAGGTATTTCTCAAAGAGCATTTTGCCCCCACCCAACGGCTGATCCATGCAAGCACCAAGCACCCCAAAGCAGTGGGGCGGTTGTTTCGGCAAGAGCACAGTGTTTCCCAAAGCTCTTTGAACCCCGCGTCAGCCCTGGTGGCACTGCAAGAAAAGATGGTGCGAACGCTTTGAGATCTCCAGGGAAATCAGAACCCTGAAGTACTGGCACTTGCGTGACCATAAACCTGAACCCAACCAATTGCATTCATCGTTGCAATCTAATTCATATTTACTTAAAATATTTTAATGTAAACACGCTATCCCCATTATATCAGCACTCCCACATTGGAATTAGTATTTATTTAACTATTTATAACCGCTCCTCCCTGCTGCGTGCATCTGCCCAAATCCCACCACGGGCACCATCCCATCCCTTTCCACCAGGTTCCCACACAGTTCAAACCGGCTGAAGAACATGGACGAGGGAGTCGAAAAAGGAGCGTGAGGCAGACAAGAGGGCAGGTGAGCTGAGACTCACACGCTTCTTGGTTTAACCTGTAATCATCCCCCGGAGGCTGGGGCTGTCTGCGAGAAAAACTTCCCTTTGCTCTCCAGCCGGTTTCCCCCGTATCGGGCAAAGCCGGGCAATGAAAGCAGCAGTTCCTGCTGGAAAGCAGACAAAGAGTCTGCTTGATTTCCTAAGAGAGGAGGCTGCATGCCAGAATCTGCCCGGCCAGTCATATAATAGCCAACCTCGGTTGCGAAAGGCTTCTCACTTTTGTTTCTGGTGCTGGACTAGCAGCTTTGCAGACTGGTGGAAGATACCAGGCTCCTCCTCTTCCAAATTTCTGTGTCCTGCTGAGAGATGGGAGCACTGGGCAAGGTCCTCTGAGAGGCCAGCGTGCCCGGGTTCAGCGCTGGGTGCTAAATATTTTCAGAAGCAATTCAAAATAAATTCCTGGAAGTGCTGCGTGTGGTGGGGGAGCTGCAGAGCCTTGCAGGGTGGCTTTTGAGTGCAACTGGTTTCTGTGGCATGCTACTGGGACCAGTGTCCCCTTGCCTCTGTGGCCCCAAAACCCGCTCTTTACATCTTTTCAGAGGTAAGCATCGTAAACCCCATGGGGTGGGCATGCACAGCAGTTGAGGGGGCAAAGAAGCCCCAAAACTGCAGCTGTGCTTCATCATGGAGACAACCAGGTTGGTCCTCCTAAACAGCAATGGATGCACATGCATGTGGTGCAGACCACCAGGAGCAAACCAGAGTCCTAAGCTAATGGGATTCACATACCCACAAATATTTGGGTCTATTATCTGCTTTTCTGAGATCATCTGGGCTGCCGAGAAGCTAAAATGCTTACTTGGTGCTCTCAGGGGTGCCCACGCCATGAGCAGGACCAGAGAACCTGCCTCGCCGTCCCTTATCACCAAACCACGCGGGTTTGATCGTGTTATTCAGCAAGTCTCCCCGGGAGATGGAGTGGGAGCAGCCCAACGCATACATTACCCTTTCCAGCTGCGATGATATTTCTCCTGCAAGGCACAGTACTAATTATTGTGTACGATATTGCTTGCAAAATGACCTATAAGCAACGCTTGCCACAAACTACCTCTTAGCGTGCAGTGTTTTCTGACGCTTCGGTGATGACGCCAGCATGAAAGCACAGGAAGCTTGAAAATATCCACCCAGAGCCATGGAGAGGTTGGGATGTCTCAGAGACCCAGCGAAAGCTGGACCGACTGCAACCCATGCATCGCTTGCCCTGGCTCCCCGATGGGCATCTCAGGTTCATCCATCCAGGTAGCAACAAGCATGGACATCCAGACAGCCTCGGGCGTGAAGCTCCAGCCTCGCAACCGCTCTGCGGTCCCTGCCCACAGGTATGCTTTTCATCTAACGTGTAGGTCACGAGGAGGTGTCTGCTGGTATTCCCCCTCAGGAGCGTGGACTACAACTGCAGAGGAACCAACGCGTTGCTAACGCATCATCCAGGCGTATAGCGACCAGCTCACTGGTGTAAAACAAGGCAACGGGTGAAAACGGAGGCACATTTCGATCAGGAAGAAGGAAAAA